CTTTAATAAAAATTTAAATTTATCATTCACAACAGTACTAAAAGAATAAAAACTCACACAAGTTAAACCAAACAGGTCCTGAGGCTAAACAAGCAATTAGGCCCGCACTTCCCCACTTTTTCCTTTATTGTTAAAGAGGCAAGTCAATTCCAATTGACCATGTCTTAGATTTACTAATCTTCTCCATGACTCCATGAATCATTGTCCACAGGATTTTTCCAAATCCTTTCAAATTATTTCCTACTTACTCCTTCTGCAAATCAACAGTTTAATATTCACTCAATATTGCAAAAATGGAGGAAAAGAAAAGGATGTTTCAATCATCTGCATTCAGCAGTATGAGCATCCACAATACTGAGACAAGAACAGAAGACCAGTGATCTCAATAAACAGTCACACCAACCAAATCTCAACCCACAAAGTACCTTCTTCATGGATTTCACCCATGTCATGTTTCTGAATCAAAGACTAACTGCTAAAAGGCAAACATACTGTGAAATTCTGCTCCCATCTTTAAAATTAAAGTAACTTAACACCTGCTTCCCTCAAAGAATCAATGACAGCCTTCACCTTACCATGGTATTTTTGCTCTCTCTTTAAGAAAACTGTAACAGCTGGGATTTCTTTGAGCATCAACCGCTCCCCAAGCATCTTCCCAATCTTGGCAGCAGCTGCAACATCCCGAGTAGACTCCATGGTTGGTCTTAAAGCCTTCTCTTGAGAGCTTGCAGATGAAGCTACTGTGGCAGTTGGTGCATGGATTACCTGGGCATGCACATACTTGTTTGTGAAGTGCATCTTCAGGACATAGGGCTTAAGGAATTTTGTAACTCTTGGTGGCCTTACAGGTGGTGGAATAACCATCTCTGTCCACTAAATCAACAAAACCATTAGCTTAACAAAAAATAAATTTTTTCTCTCGTATGAACAAAATTAAGTAAGTGAAATCGGTGGATAGATGAATAAAAATTAGAACTTACTAGTTCTATACAAAAATATCAAAAGCCCCTAAACCCCTAAAGCTTAATACACGTAAAGATTAACCCCCAAGTAAAAGTATGATTCTTTCATTTCTTAAAAGGATAACGGGCATGAATAAAGAGGACCCAGAAACTATTAAAACCCCAATACAAAGCAAATAACTTGGTTTCTCACTGAAGCATTTCATCGAACAGGTGACGTGCTTGTCAAACACCAATTACTTAACCCCCGATTCGTGGGAAAAAAAAAAATAATAATAAATCTTCCCAAGAGAAAAAGCAGCATAATCATGAAAATGAAGAGGAAAATTCACAAATACATTTACAATCTATCAAGGTACTTGCAACAGGTAAATCTAAAGCTTACCGGAGATGCAGATCTGCTGTTGGGTGAGTTCTAATTCACTTTCCGAGCAGTCGAACGATTGCCTTCAAACCAATTCGTAAAACGCAAGGCCTTTCAACCATATAACTCGTGGCCCGTGGGCTTTACCTGCCCAGACCGACAACCACATTTTCCCCTCATTTAAATTAAAGGCTTTTCTTTAGCCCATACCTGGTTAAGAATTGGGTGCAATAAATTTATATTGAAAAAATAAAAATTAAATTTTAATTAGTCAAAGTTCACTTAAATTTATCCCCATAATATTAGTACTAAAATTAATGCTAATTTTTTTATTTTATTATATAATTTAGAAATTTTTTAACTTGTATTCTTTACTGGTGCGTTGCATTTTTTTAGCATTAATTTGTATGTTAAAAATAAAAATTGACTTTAGTTCTATTAACAGTTCAATTAAATTGTTTCATATGGTATTAATATCGAAAATAAAATTTATTTTTATAATTTTTTATATAAATTAATAGTAAAAAAAATATAATAAATACACTTTTAACTTGTGTATTTAAACTTAAAAAACCCTATAATGTAGGATTAAAAGTGCATTTAAAAAAACCCTAAAATTAAAGGGTAAATTAAATGTCTATTTTGGATCCCAATCTTTCTAAAATGGGACAGTTATGTCCTTAACATTCATTATGGGACCTCTATAGTACCCAAATTGTTGAGACACTTCTTTTATTTTTTTAGATTACACAATAAAAAAATAACCCTCTCATGTTCCTTAATCACTCCATTTATATAACATGTGATATGAATTCAAAATTTTTTACTTTTACTGAAAAAAGATTATCATTGACTTATTTTGATCGTTTGCAATTATTGAGACATTTTTAATCCTTGCTTTTAGTTCATTTGAAGATAACCAATAACTATAACATAAGGATGATTTGGTACTATAATGAAATTAGAGACTAGATCAGAAGGTTTTTCCAAGAAATTGCCAACCAAGATGCCCAATTTTGTTTTAATAGTTTAAAATATATAGGAGTGCAAGAATTAGAGTTGGTGCGTGGGGGTTGAGTAGAGAGTTTAGCAAGAGATTCCTAAATATGAGATGGGAACAATTCTCTAACTCCATGTAAAACATTGGCAGCTAATAACGTTTATGGCACAATTGTAAAAGCTGAGGCCATAATCTTAGGGTTATGATTTGGACTCTTCTATATGACTGGGTTTTCTTCAATGTTTTTTAGTTTTTATATTGTGCAATAGTTGTATTGTGTATAATTTGTCTATTATGTTTATATTTTAATCTCTAGCATAAAAATATAAAACATTAGTCAATAAGTTGAGACCTGATATTTGTTTTTTCAATGTATTAAAATCAGTGATTCAAGCCTATATAAAAGAGAATATGGAGGGAAACATATATTTAAACTCTTGTTAAGAGAATGTGAAAGTTTTTTATATTATTGATAAAAAATTATTTTAACTTTCAAGGCTCTAGAAGACTAAATATATTTATTAACATATGTTTGAGGTTTGTTTTGGTTGTTTAATTGCTATTAGTTTTGCGTACCTAAGAGGTACGACCTTACAAGTTCCACAACCACCGTTCACCTCCTTTTCTTTAATTATCTTAACTTAATAGGTACTTCAATTGTTCTTTGTTGATGGCAACAAAACAATAAAATAAAATTAAAATAAAAACACTTGAAATAGGTGGAATTGCATGAGTTTGTTAAGTATAGGCTGCGTTCTGCTCCCAAAACAAGTAGAGAGGTGGATATGCCACAACATTACAAATTTGAGGAGTTGACTTGCACCTTCTGTCTTCAAAATATTGTAATTTAATTTGTCATAAAAATCCGTACTTTCTCTCCTCCTCT